CTTAGCCAAAAATTAATATACCTAATCTACTTATAAGTCCGGAATACCTACCAAAAGATAATAAATAATGAAACAGCTTAGAACGCGGATTATGAAGCATTAGGCACGATCCACGACATCGCTAATGCAGCACACAACAAGAAATTTAGTAACTAAAGCAACAAGTGTTTCCTGGAAAAAGTAAATATAAAGAGCTCAAGAAATATATAAAGTCAACAAGATCAAGAGAAGCATGGAAAATAGTAGAAAACCTGGAAATAAACGGAAAAAAAGGGAGTAAAATAGAATTTAATAGAAGAAAGATCTTGGATCGAACATTACTCACAATCTCTAACTTAAACAAGACCGCAATTCACGCATACCATTACAACAGCATATGAAGTAGAATATGATGAAAATTATGAAATGACAGTACAGGAAGTCGAAGATGTAATGCGAAATTTAAAATATCGAAAAGCATGCGGACCATAAGGTATATCGAACGAATTATTAAAATACAGCCCAGCACATGAAAACCCAGTAATTACCGCAATACTTGGGTATTGTGATGAAGAGAAGATATCGAAGATAAAATAACCGCCAGAGATTTAAAAACTGAAGATTGCTTTAACAGAAAACGCTGGAAATTATAATGCTAGTAACGGCACCAGCTCTAGAAAACTAGCCTATATATATATATATATATATATATATATATATATATATATATATATATATATATATATATATATTATTATATGGATAATACTGTCACAATATGTAATTGTTTATTAAAGCTTATTCGCTAAAAATTGTACAATGGGAATTCACTCTATAAAATATTGCGGTTACCATAACTCCCAAATAAATTAAAATCAAAAAAATGTCATTTATCTAAATGGATATGTTATCAAAATTTAAAATTTTTAATCTTAAGTTGTAAGTATTGAAATATTCATTTTGTTTACATATAATAATTATAATAAATTTACAGTTTTCTCCTGAAGAAGTCACAAAATCGTGACGAAATATTGAGAAATAACAAATAGAGTTTTATTTCACACAGACCAATTGCTGAGACTACAAATAATATTTAACACAGTACGGTCGAGAATAATTTGATAAATATATATATATATATATATATATATATATATATATATATATATATATATATAGACAAGGTAGTCCAAAATTTTTTGACTAGTTTGGAAAAAATATGTAAATACTTTTTTCTTTTTGGGTGTGGTAGCCAATAAAAAATAGAGCTTTGCTAAGGCGTACTATTTATTCTGAAATCCGAGCTTTCGGTGGTTATTTGCCACCTTTATCAAGGTCTACAATGACAATTACTGTGTTATAACATTAGGCTGATGTAATATAAAAGTTATAAAAACTTACCAGAAAGTAAGATTCATAGCATATAAAACACAACGTTAAATAACATAATGTGATCTGAATTATTGAAGGCATTAAAAATTTTAAAAACTTTAAAATACTTAAAAATTAAAGAACACGTTACAAAGTTTAAAAAGTAAAAAATAAGACGACATGTTTGACAAAAAACAGTCGTCTTCGCAGGTTTGAATTCAGTCACATCTCACGAACAGAAAGAGGTAGTAGGAGGAACTATTGTTGTTTAAATAGTTCGATGTAACTACAAAAAACAAACTTTCAAACTGATGTCTAACAAAATGCCGTTTGTGATTTTAAGTACTACCAACCATGTTACCAACTTAGAATTGAGAGGGAAATTTAAAAAAAGGTTTTATTATGTCAAAAAATAAAAAGAAAATAGTATTTAGTAAGTAGGTTTGAAAAAACAAACAACCAAAACAAAATGAACATCTGAATAATAACTGAAGTTAATCATGGTAATTATAGCAATTAATAATGGAATTTACGAAACATGAAGCACTCTGAGATACAGAAAACCCTAGTCAAAAGTCAAAATAAAATTGTAAATTTTGCTAAGATTCTGGATCTCAGATCTTTTATTCAGATTGTTGTTATCACTCCTGCTGATATGTACCATTTCTAAGAATGTTCTCTTAAATTTATTTTTCTCCCTGGCTAATATTTTAACATTGTTGAAATCTATCTTATGGTCTAGATCTAGATCGATAGTGTGTTCTGCCAAAGCACAAGTGGGTTTATTTAGTCTACAGTCACTCTTATGAGAAATGATACGACTAGACAGATTTCTTCCAGTTTCACCAATGTACGTGGATGGACATTCAGTACATTGAATGCAATAAACAACATCTCTTGACTCTAAAGTAGTTAGGGGTTGTTTTATTTTGCTATATAGCTGACGTATGGTTTTGATGTTCTTGTTAGCTATTTTGATGTTCTTAAATTCTTTGAAAATTTTAGTGAGTTCTACGGTTAGTTTTGGAATATACGGAAGGGCATAAAAATACACACTTGTTTGAGAAGAATTGTTTTGTGCTGAGGGCACTGATTGAGAATTAGTGAGAATGTTATTTCTGTTAACAAATGGAACATTAAAAATTAATTTGTTAATCAGTCTTAGAGGATATGAATTTTCAACAAAAATATTCCGTAAGAGGTTAAGATCATGTTGGAGATGATCTGGATGTGATAACCTTTTGACACGTTCTTTCATTGCTAGGACTAGGTTGGTTTTCATTCTAGGAGGATGATAGGAATGGCAGCTTATGAATCTATTGCTACATATAGGTTTTCTATACCATTGTGTTTTCACAACATTATCCTCACATCTATGCAAACGCATGTCAAGGAAGGGCAAAGATCCCTCCCGCTCTTCCTCGCACGTGAATTGCAAGTGTGGGTTTTGTTGGTTGAAAACATTTAAAGTGAATTGTATAGAGTCTGCTGGTAGTGCCAAGATTAAGTCATCCACGTATCTTTTTATAAAAGGTATTTCAAAATTGATTTGTTGCAAACAATCTTTAATCAAATCGTCTAAGACATAATTACAAAGAATTGGTGAAATGGTGGACCCCATTGGAGTACCAAAGACTTGTTTGTAGTAACAGTCATTAAAAATAAAAACATTAGAGTCAAAAACAAAAGAAATGAGTTTTTTGATATTAGATAAGTTAAGAGTTGTGTGCATTGATATGTCATCCCAGTGTTTCTCAACCCTAACCAAAATTGTTTGTAAAGGTAAATTAGTAAACAAAGACACTACATCAAAACTAACGAGCTTATAATTGATAGGTAATTTTAAGTTATTAATAAAAGAACTGAAACTGAAAGAGTCCTGAATGCAGAAATCATTGTTACTGTAGGTTTCTGTGAGAATGTTGGTTAAAAAACTTGCTATGGGGCCATTAGGTGTACCTATTGAGGAAACTAAAAGTATTTACATATATATATATATATATATATATATATATATATATATATATATATATATATATATAAAATAAAAACAATTGATTTTTAAGTCTTGAAGCAATGAGAACTTTTAATCAGCATGACCAAATGTACCTCTCTGCAAAGTTTCAGTACATTTAACTGAAACCACTTTTACATAGGTATAAATATACCAGGAATATTTGCAACTATACGACAAGCAACATGTATCCAAGATGGCGACTACTGGCGCACGCGCATTGTCATAGCTCTCGCAAAATTTTAATCAAAAGTGTACAAATCCAATATAAAATTTGTTAAAGGTGTATGCTATTTGTGTCAATCTACTCTACACTTCAAATGTGCGAATGTTGAGGAAAATGCTGATGTTAACGACTTAAGTGCGAAAATTGTGACATTTTGTATACAACCATAAATGTTACTCGTTTTGTTATTAGTTTCTGTAGTGTGTTTGTTTACTTGTTTGAATTATTAAATTAACTGACCAATTCTACAGAAAAAAAATTAAGTATTTATCTACTTATTTATAATGCGGCTGAGAATAGAATCTTGTCACGTTACAGAATGATCATTTTCTGTTATTGTTTTAATTTAATGTTATCATATTAGAGCGTTCTTGAGAATGTATAAGAAAAATAAAAAATATGCAATAAAATGTTATATATTTTTAAATAAAAACAGAGCCTCATATAAAAAAAGAGAAGAATTTATTGTCACGATTTAAACGAAGAATATAAAAATGATTTTTAATTAAAAATATCTCAGTGGCCTACCTCAGTTTTTTTTCTTTGACAAGAAAAGTGTGCAGTAACCACATCTTTAAACCCACCAAATTTTATTTGCACATTTTAACTTGGTTTAGAGCAATAAATAAATTATGAGTTTGTGAAAAACTTCAACACCTCGTATATGGGAAACGAAGCATTTTCACCTCGCATTTGCACCTCGAAGCATAATGCAAAATCACACCCTAAAGTTTGTTGCACTTATTTACTAACACTCTGTATAATATCCAAATATGTATTATGTAATAAAACTAAAACCCCGGTACTTTAAACCTCTGCAACATAGAAAAAATTGCTTGAGGAGTCTTGCGGCAATACGAACTTTTGATTAACATGACCAAAGCTATCTCTTTGCAACGATTTAGAAAATTTAATTGAAATCACTTTTACATAAGAAAAGTGTCAGGGTCCTTTATTTTTTTCAATTTTAATTTATTATATATATATATATATATATATATATATATATATATATATATATATAGAAATCGAAAAAAGGTGTTTAGACCATTCAGTAATATAGCAAAGAGGACCTAAACCTATATTAATTTGTTATTAGATGTAGACAAACAAACAAAAATAGATCCAGAAATAGATAAGTTAAATGTGCAAGAATGCATGCAAATAAACAAACCCTTAATGCTATACCTGTTTCCTTTAATCCAAACCACCAACTACCCATAAATAAATACGCACATATGTTTTACTAATACATTTGTGGAACGAATTTGCATTAAGCACCTACCATATTTGCTGCCAATTCAGCCATATTACCGGTCGGGAAAATATATTGCCGCCATTTTTTAGCATAATCTGCCAATAAAATCCGTTCACTACATTTAACAAATTATTCGCCCATCCATTTTTCAGCGAACTGAATAAATCAGCAAAAATTAACAAAAATGAGATTAAGAGGATCGTGATCGACCAAAATAGGATTTATCAGAGAATTATTGGCTGGGGAGGAGCTTTCACTGATTCCACGGGAATTAATATAAAAAGCTTAAGCGAGAATTTACAGGAGAAACTGATAAGGTAAGTAATAAAAAAATGTTTTAAATTGCTAAAAGATATCTTGATTACTATTTTTATTTTTAGAACTTTGGTAATCAACGTCAAATTTGGAATATATAGTGGTAAAAAATTCTTAGAGTATAGCACACAACTCTATTTTGGGTTTCTTTTCTATGTTAATTTTCTGTTCTTTTAGGATTCTTTACCTTGATAATAAAAAAAGTAAAATTTCTTGTGGCTCTCTTTTTAAAATCTGTGTTAAGTTTGAAGTATGTTAGTATTTTAGTCAAGTAGCGACTAATTTAGTAACTAAAATACTCACTTCTGCCAAAAAATCCTTCGCATTTGTTCGAGTACAGTTCACAAGTATGTTGTGTTTTGCAAGATGAACATCCTACAATGCAATTAAGTAAATAAACTGATTCAGTTAGTCGATTTTTTAAATTGTACTATTTGTCCCATAATATTTCTTATAGCTAGCAACTCTTTTGGTTAAATAATACTTTGAGAAACCCAGTAAGTAGCTCAATAAATATGTCATACTATCGGAATTTTTCTTTTGGGATCTCGAACTGTACACTGTGAACATACCTAAAGTGAAAGTTATCAGAAACAACGTAAAATAAAATTAATTAATTGTACAAAAAACTGTAATATCTACAGAATACTTTGAAAAGAACACGAGGAAATCTGATTCATAAAACATTCTTACAAGATTGACTAAAACTGGGTTCTAAGTTACAAGAAATTAGAGAGAACTACGACTTTTGTATAATCGTATACAAAATCATATACGTATAATGTATGGGTAATTGCTGGATGGTAATAACAAGCTTATATTAAAAATAGGTACAAAAATGCATCATCATCAGTAGCTCGACAACCCTTTTTGGGTCCTGGCTTATTATAGGATTTTCCGCCATTCTGTTCTGTTCCTTGCTTTGTTTTTCCGGTTGATAATCTTAGGTGTTTTCTGATCTTGTTCCATGTATCTAAGTTTGGGTCTTCCCTATGACCTTCTTTCTACTGGTGTTTGCCTCATTATATATTTTGGTATTCCAGAAATGCATACTTGTGTGATAATTAAGCACAGAAAACTGGATATCCTTTTTCGTCGTTTTACATATCCAACAATTTTGTACACAACACTCTAAATATTTGGTATACCCATAGGGTATACCAAAAGAAGCAGGACGGTCGAATATTTCCTAAAATTTACATCGGATCAAAAAATATAAAAAAAGTGCTCAATATTTTTCAAAAATCTATCGCATGGCACCAAACTCTACCCCTTGCCTCCTTCCCCTAGCAGTCGAGTTGTGGCAAATTTAAAATCTTAATGCGGATTTGGATTCCTCTTGAAAAAATAAGTAACCTGTATTTAAAACCTTTTAAAAAGTCGACCAATAAACAATGTTAACTCAATAACACTTATTACTTATTACTTAAGTCCTTACTAATGTGGAAACTTAATATTTCACAAGAATTCATGTTCTAAATATTTGGAAACGAATTTCAAACTTTTTTCTTTGCACTTCTTCTTTATGTACCATCTCCTGTAAGGAGGTTGGTAATTATCACAGCTATTTTCACTTTTGAGATTGCAGCTCTGAACAAGTCGACGGAACTGCAATTATACTACTTTCTCAGATTGTTGAGCCAGGAGATGCGTCTTCTTTCAATATATATATATATATATATATATATATATATATATATATATATATATATACATATATATATATATACATATATATATATATATATATATATATATATATATATATATATATATATATATATATATATATATATAATACTTCGTTTTCCGTGTATTTTTCCCTGCATTATGGTTTGTAACAACACATATTTATCCCCTCTCATAACGTGCCCGAGATACTGAAACTTTCTTATCTTAATCGTATTCATGATTTCCATTTCCTTTGTCATCTTTCTGAGGACCTCAACATTTGTTATTCGGTCTACCCAACTTATTTTTAATATTCTTCGGTAGGTCCACATCTCGAATGCTTCAAGTCGATCGCTCACCTCTTTCTTTAAGGTTCAGGCCTCTACCCCATACAGCAGCACCGAAAACACATAAGAACGTAATATTCTTATTTTTAGTTGTAAACTAAGGTCTTTACTGCATAATACTTTTCTCATCTTATTAAATGTTGCTCTAGCTTGTCCAATTCTCATTTTTATTTCTTCTGCATACTCGTTATTTTCATTAATAATTGTACCAAGATATCTGTATTTTTTTACTTTTTCTATTGGAACTCCTCTTATGTTTAAACTCTCTTCTGGTTGTGTTTTGGAAATTGTCATACATTTTGTTTTATTAGCATTAAGCGTTAGTCCGCTTTCTTCACTAGCATTTACTACATTATCTTAAAGTGTCTGTAGATTTTGTATATTCTCTGCAATTAGTATCGGCATATCTGATATTGTTGATAGGTCTGCCGTTGACTTTTATTCCAATTGTTACATTTTCGAGAGATTTTTTAATTATTTCTTCCGAATATAGATTGAACAATAAGGAGGAGAGTATGCAACCTTGCCTTACGCCTCTATTTATCTCTACTTTCTCCGAAAGTTCTCTGTCGACTCTGACTTTTGCTGTTTGGTTAAAGTAGAGATGAGTTATTATTCTTAAGTCTTTTTTGTCAATGTGTTTCTCTTTAAGTAACTGTATAAGACGATTGTGTCGGACCTTATCGAACGCCTTATTATAATCAATAAAACAAACATAGAGTGGTTGGTTTACATCCATACATCTTTGCATGAGGACGTTAAATCCAAATAATGCTTCTCGTGTACCCATGGCATTCCTAAATCCAAATTGGGTTTCAGTGATGTCTTGTTCCACTTGTCTGAAAATTCTTAAATGGATAATGTTTAAGAATATTTTTAGTGTGTGACTCATTAGACTAATTATACGGTGATCATTACATTCCCTTGCATTAGGTTTTTTTTTGGTAATGTAATAAATGTTGATTTGAGCCAACCTCTAGGAATAATACCCGTATTATATAAGTCTACTAATACATTGATCTGATCTTCTGATATTAATTTAATTATTTCAGTTGGAATTGTGTCAGGTCCCGCGGTTTAATTAGATTTTGCCAGTTTTGTTGCAGGTATTATTTCATCCTTAGTTATATTTGGAACTTTATCATGTTCCTCGCAATCGTTTATACTATCTTGTTGCGTCCTGTTATCCTCAAAGAGTTCTTGGACGTATTCTCTCCATCTGTTTAGTTTGCCTTTTACATCAGATATTATTTTACCATTCGTATCAACAAGCGTGTTACTATTGTTGGACCGTCTTATACCTACTAATTCTTTAATTTTTTTGTGCACTTTAAAACTATCATGATTTCTCTGGAGTTCTTCTATCTCTAAACATTTGTCGTTGGACCATTTTTCTTTAGCTGTCCGTATTTTTATCCTGATCTCCTTATGTGTGGCTTTGTATTCGTTTACATTTTTGTTTTTGTATGATCTTCTTTTGTTCTTAAATTTTTCCCATTTTTCGTTGGAATCTTCATTATCATTGATTATTTATTATTGTTTTGCTTAACTGCTCGTTAATTTTCAACGTTAGTTCTTCTTTTGTATTCGAATGTTTTAGCAGAGTGCTTATTTGTTGTGTCTTTTGTGGTTTTTTTATTTTCTTTAAGTGAATTTCAAATTTTACGATAACTGGATTGTGGTCTGATGACATATCTGTTCCTGGATATGTCTTTGCCGATTTGATGGAGTTACGGTATCTCTCATTAATAAGGATAGAATCTATCTGGTTTTTGATAATTTTTTTTGCTATCCTTAGGTAATTTCCTTACAGATCTTTAATGTAGTGGTTTCTCGTTGCCGTCTACATCCTTCTGCCGTTGACTATTTCTTTGGTTCATCCGCCTTTGGAGTCTATTTCTCAACTACAGGACAAAAGAGTGCCCGATCATTAACCAACTCATCCGCCCATAGCCGTTGGTCAGTAAGTGAGAGATTGCTTATAACAGCAAACACTCGGTCCCTATCTGCATTGGCCATCTATAGATAGATGTTGCCCATCTTCTACGACGTGGAGGTTACAGATTTGGATTTTTCTCTCATTGGGATTAAGACCTTTCGGCATTTCCTAATCCCTCCAGAGTTTTCTTCGCACTAGCGAAACATTTTTGCGTCAACTAATGAACTCGTCTGATTCGAATGGTTCGGACTGCTTTAGACGGTGATCCAGTGAGCTATGGGAGGTGCTGCTCGCCCGAAAAATTTAGTAAATAAAATACCTAGTACTGCCCAAAAATCGTTCGCACTTGTTTTAGTACAGTTCACAAGTGGATTGGGTTTCGCAATATGTAAGATAAGATGGTTGGGAAAATGTGTATGATTAATAAAAAGAAGCTATGGATTCGAAATTGGATCGATAGAAGAGATAAACTAGGGGCTACCAGTTGTCTTCTAAAAGAAATTAGCATTGGAAGACCTTAAAGAATACTTTGATATTTTTAGAATGTCTGATAGTTCTGTAAATTTTCTGATAATGAAAAAACACTCTCAAATACAGCGGACCCTTTTAAGAAGTGAGATTCCTGCAATACCAAAATTACAAGCAGTTCTATACTTTCTTAATATTCCACAATCAAGTATGTTCTAAATATTTTAGTGTTCAATTTTAGTTAAAATCGAAATTTGTTTGGCAACTAATAAACTCGACTAATTCAACTGGTTCAGACTAGTTTAGCCGGTGAAACAGTTAGCACGGACGTGTGGTGGGAGGTGCTACATGCCCAAAAAATATAGAATAAAATGGATCGACTAGACTAAATTTTTGATGTTCACACAGGTTTATATACTAAATTACTTGCTTTTCGACTAAAATATTAGCATAGTCCGAACTAGGTCTTAGGGTTTTTACTTAAGCAAGCGCACCTAACATTACTTAGAACTACTTACGTAGCCGAAACAGATGTGCTTTATGTACGTGAACTCATGCGTACTAATGCGTACTACTTGATGAATATGTGATACGATATATTTTTGTTTTTCGAATGCGATCTTATAACAAAGGCTGGCGAGAATTTCTGGAAACTCGTGCCTGTCTTTGGTCTTTCCCATTAGTAAGGGGAAGTCTAAGCCAGCTAATGGTTTTATATTTCTTAGCTATGTCATCTGTACTCTACCCGTTCATCATATATTCTTACATTTTTCATCTGCCCATTTTCTTCCATGATCAGCTCTAGAAATTTATATCTCTTTTGTGTAAGGACGTATCTAACATAAGCCCTTTTTTTTGTTACACGTAATTTTTGCTTTTACCTTACATTTTAAATACATTACATTTTTTATTAAGATTTTTTTAAATTATCAATGATATTTCGGCTCTTCAACTACCTGGAATTTTTAGCTATAATAAATTAGTCGTAATCATATTACTTTTAATAGATTATTTGTAGTTTAATTTTTAATAAAGTATAAATCTCTTTCAGAACAATAATTGTGAGAAATTTTGTAATATAAATATTTTTTACAATATGTCAAACTATTTTTATAATTATATTGGTCTGTTTTATGTCTTCACCTATAAATATTCTAGTCGTCAGGGACGAAAATGTCACTGTACCTCTAAAAATTTTATGAGCAAGCTGAATTTTCCTATTGTCAATTTTTGAACACCAAAATATATGCAATAAAGTTGCGCACTTCCACCCCCGGGACTTCCCCCTAAAAGCCCACTCGTAATAGAGGCGGAAACTTCATACAAAATATTTTAAACAAGTAATGTATCTCACATTATTTTAAACAAAAATGTTAATTAGCAATTTTTGTGTAGAATAAACCGTTCCCTCCGAAACAACACTTGAAGCGACCGGTGATTTTGAATGTCAGTTACGCGTGTGAATCAATTGTTTAAATAAAATTTGTATCAACGCGGCAGTAAAAATTGGACATCTTCTGATCAGAATGTTTTATCGACAAAGGTCAAACTGCATTTTAAAGGCTAACTAATCAGAGCCTAATCCTTATAACATTAAATTTCGATTTTGAGTTTTTGACAACATCTAAAACAATCTTTTTTTTATTTTGTACATTTTTATAATAACATAACTTTAGCTACAAATTCCACCTAATATTGTCTGCGTAAAACATTTCTTGTAACATGAGAATATTTATAATGGGAAAGTTTAAATTCAGCGTTTCTTGCTCATATTTTAAATGCAATTTCATAATTTCAAATTTGTTGCCAAAACTCAAAATCGAAATTTTATGTCATAAATTTTGAAGATTTTGCTCAAAAATTGAAAATTTTATAGCGACCGATCACAAGAAGTATTAAAATTTATTGAACGCATCGTAAAAATTCGAGAATAGTAAAAAATGGGGAAAATCGTTTAAAGTTTATTTATATAACAACTTTGTAGAAACTGACTTTATTTTCGACAAAATGAAAAAATGAAGTATAAAAGCCTGCACTGTTCACCTTTGAAATCCTCTGATCAAAAGATATCGTAACATAGATAACACGTTTAAAATCACCGGTCGCTTCAAGCGTTGTTTGTGAGAAAACGGTTCATTCTACTCAAAAAGTGGTAATTAATATTTTTGTTTAAAATTATCTCAGATACATTTTTTGCTTAATACATTTTTTTCTATAACGTGCAAATTCTTTATAAATTGATGTGTTTGTATGGGGGAAGGTTTAAGTGGAAAGCGCGGGTAGGAGTGGCACACTTTTTTGCATCTTTTTTTGGGACCTCAAAGTTGACATTCTCAGTTAAAATTCAGCTATGATAGTTGGAGATCAAATCTCTCTCGACTGGACTATAACTTAAAATTATATTTTTTAAGATCCTATTTTTCTACGGACGGAATTGAATACAGTTTGGGCAGAGTTCCACTCGGTGGTACTGACTTTTCAACACATGGATATACATATATGGATACAGAGTTTGATGGTAATTACTGTGAAGATCCCTTACTAACTAAATTTAAACTAGCAAAAGAAGACTATGCATATAAGGCAAGTATTTTTATTATTATATAGTATATCTTTTTCATGTACTTTGTTCTCTCAGAACGTTGATTACCGTCATAGTTATTTTAATCTTATTTACTGTCACCGTAAATAGCGTGTTTGTATCAATATCATACCAAACCTGCTAGTTATTCAACTATGCAGTCTTTCTTTATTCTGAACTTCGGTTGCCTGCTATTTTCCCTAGCATGTATGCTAACTGCTATATGTTCGAACTGGAATTAAACATTTATTTTTAGGCGAGTAATGACAGTTTTATAGACGCAATATTTTAAAATGTATTCGGCAAATTTCTTTTGGAAATTTTTTTAATTTATTGAAACCTTTAATATTTCATTTAATAGTCCATTAAATTTTATTTGAAATCAGATTAATTTTTCAGCCCAGTGTTGCAAAAACGCAGCTTCAAAAAGGATGTAGTATTATTATTTGCACCTAATGCTGCAAAAACGAAACACTAAAGTTTAAACTACCATTGCAAAACTTTAAAAAATATATTTTTCACTTACCTAGTTAAAACTGCCTAGGTAGTCGATACGTCCTGTTATGTTCGTAATGAAAAACTCCAAAACAGTTGAATGTAGAAACCGTCACTAGGTATTAAAAGAACAAGCTTAGAGCCATTAAAAAAGGCTTCATTAGCACGTAAATCCAAAGTTTCTTTAAATCGTATACAATGTTTACATAATTAGACGACTTTTTATAGACTAGATTGTAATATTGGAAACATCATATTGATGTCAAATAAAAAGAAGATAACAGTTGTCCCGCTGCGGCCTCTCCGGCTTCTTTGTTTTTCTTGGTCCTCATGCTGAAAATTTCTGATACATGTTCCATTTATATATATATATATATATATATATATATATATATATATATATATATATATATATATACCGGGTGGTGAAACGCCAAACGGTCCATAGGGAATTCAATGGAAAATTCTAAATTGTTAAATTCCTGCTTCCCTAATTATTTTACATCAAAATTCATAGGAAACTATTTGTAAAGAACTAAAATATGTATTAAAAACAAATGTTAAAATTGTTCTACGAATTAAATGTATCCCAAAATTTTGTAAAAATATAATACATTTTTTAGGCCACCCCTTAAAGTCAGGCCACACAAGGTACAAGAATGTGTATGACATGTTGCGTTTGATCATATTTATGTTTTTACTATTTGACATTATTTGAATTGTCAATATTTTTAATTTGTGATTAAATCATACACAAATACTAAAATGCATAAGTTTTCACAAATACTACTACTAGTGAACAGTAACTAGTACTTTGTAAACAATAAATTATACTGTTTACAAAGCAATAAAATTGATGAAATGTAATCAGTTCACGAAAAATCGCAATAATGTTGTATTCAGGCAATAGTGCGAGCACTGCCAGATCTTTATTTAACACAAGATATCATAATACACTCCAATTTAATTCCAGGTTATACAACAATCAAATAATTTCTATATAGTTTTATTGTGATCCTTCCTAATAATAATTTATATAATTTATGATAATTTCAACATAAAACTATAACAAATGTTCAAACAATAAGCCATTTTGTACTAAGCAGTATCCCACTCGATTGTAAAATTCTCGTCTAACATTAGCCAGAATGCGTGGCGTTATTTTGCACACTCTTCAATAATTCGCCTTTCTAAAGTTTCAATATCTGTAAATTTTTGGTCAGAATATATTTTTGATTTTAAATGCCCCCAGATAAAATAATCGTTTGGAGCTAGATCTCCCGATCTCGGAGGCCACTTAATATTACAGTCAGGTCCAATCAAACAATTTTTAAAGCTGTTTTTAAGGAATTCCTTAACCTCCCAGTTATTATGCGCAGGGCAGCCATCCATTTGAAACCAAATTTCTTCTTCATCTGGAACTAATTCTGCAAGTCTGGGTAAAATTTCTTCTTGTAGCAAGTCTAAAAACTTTTTTGAATTTAAATTTTCTTCATAGAAAAATGGTCCAATAATATTCTGTCTAAATATTCCTAACCAGACATTTATTTTTCGACGATATTGGGTATGGCTTTCAATAATATTCTCAGGCTTTTTTGTCGACCAAATCCTATAATTTTGAACATTTGGTTCATTATTTAATGTAAATGTACATTCATCACTAAACAAAATGTTTTTTAAAAATTGTCTGTCTGCATTAGCCCTCTCTAACATTTCATAACAAAATTCCGCTCGTCTTTCAGCATCTCCTTCTCTTAGTTCTTGATGACATTGGAATTTATATGAACGGAATTTATTCCTTTTCAAAATTTTTAAAGCCGTAGAGTTATGAATATTTAACTGATCTGCAATGGTCCGAGAACTTATTCTAGGATTTTCTACAACTGCTGTTAATACATTTATTTCATTTTGATTTTCTAAATTTTTTGGTACTTCAGCAATATTGTTTGTACAGGTACAATTAGAAATCACGGTCCCAGTATTTTCAAACTTTTTTAAAATCCTTAGAATTGTTGAGTGACTTAGAATTGGTCTATTGGGATATTTTACGCTAAATAAAGAACTGACAATTCGTGCACTATTGCCAGAATAAAACATTTTTATTATTGCTACTTTCTCCTCGACTGAATACATTTTTTAATAAACTATGTTGTTTTTTAAACAATAAATCACTAAATTAAAATTTTGGCAATTCAAATAATGTCAAATATTATAAACATAAATACGACCAAACGCAACATGTCATACACATTCTTGTACCTTGTGTGGTCTGAATTTAAGGGGTGGGCCTAAAAAATGTTTTATATTTTTACAAAATTTTGGGATACATTTAATTCGTAGAACAATTTTAACATTTGTTTTTAATACATATTTTAGTTCTTTACAAATAGTTTCCTATGAATTTTGTTGTAAAATAATTAGGGAAGCAGGAATTCAACAACTTAGAATTTCCCATTGAATTTCCTATGGACCGTTTGGCGTTTCACCACCCTGTATATATATATATATATAGTTCAAGGTTCTTGAACTCCTAAGTGGAGCAGAGAGCTCCAGTGAAAACGCGCCATCGGGTTCTATTTTGCGCTAAGGCCTTCACCTCATTCCAAGACTTTCCTTGTTTTCTTATCTCGTCCATGATGGATCTTCTCCAAGTTTGTACTGGGCGACCTTTTTTTCGTTTTCCTTGGGATTCCACTCTAGGGCAGTCTTTGCAATACTGGAGTTATTTTTTCGGAGTGTGTGACCGATCCAACCCCACTTTCTGGACTTTATTTCATTTACTACCCTCTTTTGTTTGGTCAGGTGTAGTAAATCTTCGTTTCTGATGATGTTAGGCCAGAAAATACGAACAATTCTTCGTAGACATTTATTAACAAAGACCTGCAGTTTGTCTGTTTTCCAGGTTTCACATCCGTAAAGTAGTACAGACATGACAGTTGCCTGGAATATGCGGATCTTTGTCCTCGTAGTGTAGTCTCCATACCTCCAAACAGGGTTGAGCATGCTGAAAGCTTGTTGCGCTTTTCGTATCCTCATACGAATATCGTCTTCTGTACCTCCGCTTTCTGTTATGACACTTCCAAGATACGTAAAGTTTTCCACATTTTCAATCTGCATGTTATTAATGGTGAATAGCGTGTTGTTTCTTGCATTTATTCTCATGGATTTGGTTTTGCCAATATTGATTTTCAAACCTATTTTATTGGCTTTAGTGGAAAGTGTTTCCAATTGGTCAGCCACATCTTGGAACCTTTGTCCTAACAGGCAGATATCGTCGGCGTATTCTAGATCGCTTAGGCGTGTGGTTAACGTCCATTGTATCCCTCTTGTGTCAGAGTCTAGTTTGGAGAGAACATAGTCTAGAGCTATGTTAAAAAGAAACGGAGAAAGCACGCATCCCTGTCTGACTCCAGTAAGTGCGTCAAATTCGTCACTGTTGATCCCACATGTTCCATTTAGTGAATTCCATTTAGTGTCACTGTATGAAACTCTGTTATATAGGTCTTTCTAGATGATGGATCATTGGTTAAAATGTTTGTTGGGCGGTATGTCACTAAGAGATCCTGAACGTGCGAACTTTGATTAAATTGGCCTCCTTTTCAGTCGCTCTGTTGGGAGTCTGATCCTCTTTGATAGATCTGAATATAATACAGATAATAATCATATCGAAATATGTTGTTTATTTGATTGATAAACTATCATAAAGTAAAATAAAGTGTGCTTCGTAAATCAGGATCTATTTGTAGACTCAGCAACAAGATTTTAAAAAACGGTTGTCCTTTCTACAAGTGGGGTCAGCAATTAAACAGAGATAAAAGTAGTCAAATATATCAATAGTACATGAAATGTGTATAAACTACCAAAAATAGTATTAAAAAGGAAAAGGCAAATTACAGGTTGGTGAAATAATTCACCAAACCTAGGAGTTTACGAAATTCGCAGATATAAGCAGAATTCGAATTGGCTTCCGGTTAGAAATGCAACGTAATTTATTCCCAAAAATGTCTTGTTCTTTTAGATTTCACAGAGAGTAATGATATTTCCAAATCAGGCATCGAATGTAACATGTGGATGGCATGTGTTATATAAGAGCCAATAGGTCAGAGGCTGAGAGTGTCTGACAATTTGTCTTAATATTAAATGAGGACGTATGTTAACACTATTTATATCATTGTTCTATTTTATGTATTTATTTATACTACTCTACTCATTTCACATCTTGTTTAACAAATCCAGGAGTAATTAATTTACAAACGATTTGTAGTTCTTATTAATCCCGTACAAATTTCCAATAACCTTCTTACTACTAAAGTTGTTCTCTTCTTCAGATACCCATAATAAAAGAAGCAAAAGCCCTCAACAATGACTTATTACTACTGACATCTGCATGGATGCCACCGAAGTGGATGAAAGAAACTCTGCAATACCAAGGAATGTTCGGTTTCTTAAAGAAAAGTATGTACCAGCCTTGGGCCAATTACTTTGTGAAATTTTTGGATAACTATCTTAATAATAATATAACGTTCTGGGGAATAACTACGGGAAATGAGGTCTATTTCAATGCGGCTCAGAGACTACTTCCGGGGATCTTGTGGACGCCTGGGGAAATGGTAAGTTTTATCTAAGTTGAGAAAACAGAGCAAATCGGTAATAAAAGAAATATTCTAAATATTTAATTGTTATTATAAGTTTAGTTTGACTATATACTTATTTCGGTGAAAAAAATTCTCTTGGATAAAAAATACTGAAATCTTTATTGGTCCCGGTAGTATGGGCACACTGGCTAGGAAAAATATTCTTATTCTAAATTTTCCCACAATTTTATTTAAAATAACCCCCTTATAAATAACAAAAATGCAGGTTGCGATGAACAAATAATGGTCTAAAACTGTAAGAACCATGTTTTTAAACAAATTGTAATAAAATTTATTTTTTGTTTGTCGGTTTTTTTGTAAATTTTTTTTGGGTAACTAATGTATAGGAAATAAATCAATCCTCACAATTTTAAGTAAGTTTGTGTTATAGTAGAATTTCTAGGCTACATGTTTCGGGGCTTACAATATGTGTCTCATCTTCAGGAATCAGTGCATAGTTCTAAAACTAAAAGAATAAACACATAATGCAAAGACTAAAATCAAATTGAATAAATCAAGCAAACAACTATAACCTAAATTAAGTAAGAGAATTGCTACTATAAATATATATATATATATATATATATATATATATATATATATATATATATATGTATAAGTTGTGATTTTTGAGGATGCAGTCAGTTTATTTGGCCCACAAGACAAAGAAAACTCTTTGACTTACTGTCAAGCTTTCGAATTATATTTAATTCTTTTTCAAGACATCTGTAAAAAGAAATATAAATTAACTAGTTAAAATTGTTAATTGTCTTACTTACTAGTCGTGAGATTACAGTTTTTAATATTGTACTCTACAAAACAAACCATAATAAATATAATAAAATTTTTTATTAAAAATAACTATATTGTCACTATATATGTCATTGGCATGGTTTGATTAATGGACATATATGAATGAAAATACAGTTACTTTATGTGGAAAGTAAAACCAGTAACAATAGTTTTTATTATAATTTATTTAATTGTCTATAAAAAATATAAATTAATCCAGTCAGCAGTTTGGCTTAAGCACATATGAATTTTTAATGTTAGGATGTCAATAGAAAATGAGATCTTGACGGTATTTATTGATATGTTAATATGTAACAATAAATGTTACTTAATTTGTCAATATCTGATCTTCTATTTACACATTTTTTATTTTTTTGTATATGTGTCATTTCTAAAAATAACCGTTTCTGTTCATGTTTCTGCTTCTCTAGAATTGAAGCCTGTGAAAAATTAATTGTGTGATTTAGATTGATGGAGTGTTCAGCTAATGCACAAGCTTGTGATTTCTTAGTTTTTGCATCACTTTTATTAGAAATAATTCTGCTGTGTAATGTTCGAGAAGTTTCTCCTATATAATCTTTATCACAGTCTGAGCAAGGTATTTGATACACTACTCTAGAACTTTCATCAGTTGTTAAAGGATCTTTAGTTTTACTGTATAAATGTGCTATGGTTTTAACATTTCTGGTGGCAATTTTTATGTTTTCTAATCCTTTAAATAATTTGAGAAGTTTTGGTGTTAAGAATGGAATATAAGGTAAAGATCCAAAAGTTTGTGGTGTTATTGGTATTAAGGTGTTAACTGTCAGGCTATTGTTTATTTCTTGATTTGCCATTTTTACTGTGATTTGTTTTTATTGTTGGTACTGTCGATCAATGTGATGGAGGTTGGAGAGTTTGCAGCACAAAAAATTAATTTATTGAGTAAGCCAACGGGATAAGAATTTTCAATTAATATGTTTTTTAGTCTCTTTAAACTTTGTTCTTTATATGTTGGATGAGTTATTCTAGTTACTCTACTTTTTAGTCCCAAAATTAAGTTTATTTTCATTTTTGTATCTATTGCTAGAAATTGGTTTTCGATACCATTCTGTTTTAAGACTATTGTCATGTGTGCGATGGACAATCATATCTAAAATGACTAAATTTAATAAATTTAATGACTTATTCTGTGAAACAAAAAGATTTTTAATTGAGAATCCAGAATTATACATTCTCCGCAGTGATAAAGGTAACATAACTGTTGCAATGTACAAGGAAGATTATATAAATCAAAGTCAAGCATTACTTACGGCCGGTTTCACAATCAGAGGTTAACCCTAGGAGTTAAGTAACCTTTACCTCTAGTTTAACTGACAGATGCCGTTTCACATTCACAGATTCGGTTATGGTCACTTAACCTTAGGTTTCGTTTTATTTTTCTTATGTTGGTAGGAAATTATGGACAACAATCAGATGTTTATGGAATATTGTCAGTAAATATTATGGACATTGACCAGTATAGATGAGTTATGACACATTTGTCACGTTAAATGGAAAACAATATACGAAAATTATTCTCATTTTCAAGTTCTGTTTTAGTGTGGCAGTTTGTTCTAAGAAGTCGTTGTTTGTTTAAAATTAAAATTATAAAATAAACCAAGAAAAATATTCAAGAGATTGGCAAACTTTTCGCCAGAAGAGGAATAATTACTTATTTCCTTATACATGAAATAAAAAAGTTAGAAATTGTATATTTAATTTGCTTCAAAATATTTTTAACTGTGTTCCTTGAAAATCCTAAACCTTCATGATCTAGTTCTTCAAAATGATTTGTTCTGTGCCTAATGATTCTTGGTCTGCCAGCTTCCTTATTACTGCTAAAAACATTTACATCATATAAATCCATATCTGATTAATTAATAATTGATGTGTCTGTCTACACTCTGCCAATGTCAACAAAACGAAATTCGAAATTAGGTTAGGATATCCTGGTCAAGTTTTAAACTACCGCTTTTACTTTGGGTTAAAAATTTTGTAGGTTAACCACAACCCGAGCTGTTGACCTTATATTGTGAAACCTATATTTTATGGTAACCGCTGGTTATCTCTTAACCACAAGGTAACTTTACTTTGTGAAACCGGCCGTTAATGATGTAAAATATTATAAACAACTGACAAATGATCCAACATGCACATTGCAACAAAAATCAAATAAACTTGTATCAAAATTAGCTAACAATGGCGTCATATCTGCTAGTGAATCAAAATCATTGAAAATTTACAATTCAGTAGCACCACAGTTCTACGCATTGCCGAAAATACATAAACCATGACAAAATAACTGACGTCTTAAATATTTTTAACAACCAATGTAGCCAATTACAATTTACTGCAGAAAGAGAACAAAATAACAGTCTCCCTTTTTTAGATATGATTGTCCATCGCACACATGACAATAGTCTTAAAACAGAATGGTATCGAAAACCAATTTCTAGCAATAGATTCATTAATTACTATTCCGAACATCCTACAAAAATGAAAATAAACTTAATTTTGGACTAAAAAGTAGAGTAACTAGAATAACTCATCCAACATATAGAGAACAAAGTTTAAAGAGACTAAAAAACATACTAATTGAAAATTCTTATCCCGTTGGCTTACTCAATAAATTAATTTTTAGTACTGCAAATTTTCCAACCTCCATCACATTGATCGACAGTACCAACAATAAAAAACAAATCACAGTAAAAATGGCAAATCAAGAAATAAACAATAGCCTGACAGTTAACACCTTAATACCAATAACACCACAAACTTTTGGATCTTTACCTTATATTCCATTTTTAACACCAAAACTTCTCAAATTATTTAAAGGATTAGAAAACATAAAAATTGCCACCAGAAATGTTAAAACCATAGCACATTTATACACTAAAACTAAAGATCCTTTAACAACTGATAAAAGTTCTAGAGTAGTGTATCAAATACCTTGCTCAGACTGTGATAAAGTTTATATAGGAGAAACTTCTCGAACATTACACAGCAGAATTATTTCTCATAAAAGTGATGTAAAAACTAAGAAATCACAAGCTTGTGCATTAGCTGAACACTCCATCAATCTAAATCACACATTTAATTTTTCACAGGCTTCAATTCTAGAGAAGCAGAAACATGAACAGAAACGGTTATTTTTAGAAATGACACATATACAAAAAAATAAAAAATGTGTAAATAGAAGATCAGATATTGACAAATTAAGTAACATTTATTGTTACATATTAACATATCAATAAATACCGTCAAGATCTCATTTTCTATTGACATCCTAACATTAAAAATTCATATGTGCTTAAGCCAAACTGCTGACTGGGTTAATTTATATTTTTTATAGACAATTAAATAAATTATAATAAAAAACTATTGTTACTGGTTTTACTTTCCACATAAAGTAACTGTATTTTCATTCATATATGTCCATTAATCAAACCATGCCAATGACATATATAGTGACAATATAGTTATTTTTAATAAAAAAATTTTATTATATTATATATATATATATATATATATATATATATATATATATATATATATATATATATATATATATATATATATATATATATCGTCGCCTCAATACTACAACTAGGTAACTCAAATATAACACTTCTGAGAAAAACGCATTTAAAGATTTTTGCAAAGTTTAAATTCCTCTCTAGCCTAAAATTGACAAAATATTAAAGCCATATTCCGTTTTTAACATTCTTACCTTCTTTACTAACCATCCATGAGGTTTAATAATGTATATATTTTCCAAGATTACAAATATCAGGAGAAAAGTTGGAAAAGTCCCAGTTATCTAGTTGTTGCATATACCAAAATCTCAGTTATGTACTTGTTGCAATATATATGTTCTTGTATTGGCCCTTGTTTTTGTTAAAAAAAGAACTACTAGAAGTTATTTTTCATTTCTTAAGGTAAAAGTATAAACTGTTACACATAAAAAATTAAAATTAGGTAGGTACCTACTAATATTTAAAATAATATTTACAAAAAAACTACTTTATGAATATTGATATGAAACAATTTGTAATTTCTGAGGAGGCACAAATAGAGAAGTTCTTTAAGGGTCACCTTCGTAGTGACCGTCACCTATTTTACTTGAATCTTCTTTATTGTCGTATGGCAGACTGGTGTAAAAT